CGTGCGCGCTGTCCACCCAACATCCATTCCTCGCGCACCGCTCATCTCCTTCGCAATGTAAATGCCCGAGACCTTAGCCTCCAAGCGTCGTGCGCGTCGCTTCCTCGCACACACCTTGCGCCATTCGTCCGCGTCGCTCCAGCCTTCCAGCCTCAAACTCTTGAGCTTCTTGCTCGACCTCCTAAGCCATTGTGCACGTCGGCACCCTCGTATACGGGCTCCTGCACGTTTCCTAGGCCATGCAAGCCTTGTTCCGGCCCTTTGCTTGGCCTTCTCGGATAATATCGGCCTTCGGACCTTCTCATCTTCAGGGCTCAAAACCCACTTCCGTATCATTCCCGCCCCCTTTAAGAATGTCCTTGTCCTCAAGGACTTGTCATCGACCATTAATTGGGGCGTCCTCACCTCGTACACTACGTGCGCAATTTCTTTCTCAACCACTGAAACCTCTAGCACACCTTCTTCATTCTCAAGCCAAATCTCCTCCTTTACTCCAATCACTTCGGCTTCGTTGGACTCGCCCAAAACTCTTTCGACCTCAACAAAGTGTTCATCAGGGTATACATCAAAAATAGGCGGTCCTTCATAATCCGTCGACTCATTCGCGTACTCGAAGGGCCTTACATCCTTAAAATATTTCAAGAATTCAAATGGGAATATAGGCTCCTTACACTTTCCTTCGACTCGTCCTTCTTCTTTGTCGGACATGCTCAGTATGCGGTCGGTTGCTCTAACCAACTCGCGTGTCTCGGGTTGCTGCAGCTCGATCGTCCAAACCTCTTGCACCTCGCCTTCGACCTCGGTTTCCTTGATCTCAGCTTCCTCGACTACTTCGTTGTCCATGAGTTCATCCTCGGGGTACACGTCAAAGATAGGTGGGCCATCATATTCCGTCGATACATGCTCGACCATGCTCGCGTACGCGCCTACTTCCTCGACGGTAAAAATATGACCGCTCCCATGCCAAACCCGCTCAATACTCTTGAGACCAAACTCCTTGGCTCTACTATCTTTGCTTGCTTTTAACGTGACCCGATGCTCTCCTGAGTTGAACTCCATGACTCCCATCTGGTAGTCGGTGGTCACCTTTCCTAAACCTTCGAGCCATTGTACTCCTAACACAACGTCGGGTCCAACCAAGGGTAGCGCATAGAGATCGGCTTTGATGGTGACTCCTTGAAATTTGATCGGTATCGCACGGTAAGCCTCCGAGCACTTTAGCTGTTCTCCATTGGCTACTCGGACCTCAAATGGTTCGACCTTCGTCGTTGGCAACTTCAACTTTCGAGATAGATCGGCGTTGATGAAGTTGTGCGACGATCCGTTGTCTACTAGCACGACTACACGATGGTCCTTGACCAACGCCGGCAGCCGCATCGTCGTCGGTCCTCTTGTACCAGCCATCGCACGCATCGAGATCTCGGACTCCTCTTCGGGAACCCCAATCTCGACTTCTTGCTCCCAATCCTCCTCGATCTCGGGCTCTTTATTATCGATGACGTGGATGACAAAAGCCTGCTTGCATTGATGACCAGGCGTAAATTTCTCGTCGCACTTGAAACAGAGTCTCTTCTCACGTCGGCGCTTTATTTCCTCGGGCGACAAGTGCTTGATTTATGGTCCCAGTGGTCGCGCGTTATTGGTCGTTCGAGATCTATCAGGCGTTTGGCCGCTCGGAACCATGTTGCTTTCATCTGGTTGTGCGCGTCATGTTTCGGGATAGCGTACGTCCGTCCGTCCCCTTCGAGTGGCGGTGAGGTGGTCATCTCGGCGTCGAGCAACCTCCATAGCCGCATGCATCGATTCGGGCCGCTCTAACCGCACCTCTGCAGCTAGGTCGAACTTCAGCCCTCCAATAAATGCTCCCACCAACGCGGTTTCGAGCCAGCCTCGTACGCGACATGCCAATTGCTCGAACTCCTTTAGATAGTCGCGCAAGCTTCCTGTCTGCCGTATGCGTGATAACGCCTCATTGTAGTTGTGGTAGTCGGATGTTCCGAAACGTGTAAGTAACTCACGCTCGAAGTCGTTCCACCTGATGACTTGTCGTCGGCCACGGTAGACGCTTGTAAGCCACTGCCACCACACGTTGGCTTCTCCATCAAGATAGTAAGCAGCGTACTTTACCCGATCGTTTCCTTCGATCTCATTCAGCTCAAAATATTGGACAGCCTGGTTGAGCCATGCATCGGGATCTGCACCGGTGAAGGTGGATAACACGACCTTTGGCTTTTCTGGCTTCGGTCAATCGTGGTGGTTAGACGCCTGGGACCGTCGGTCGAAGTCGTCTTCCCGCTCGTACTCCTCGCGTCGTCGCTCGCGGTCCACGTCTCGCTCGCACTCATCATGTCGTTGTTCCTCTTTGTGTCGCGCACGGTCGTGGCGTTGTTCGAGCTCTCGATCCTCGTACCGCCGCGCTTGGTCATCATCATGCTCACGCTCGCGGCGTCCTTCATGCTCAGGCCGCTCGCGATTGGGCCGTCGCGACGGTGATTGGCGCGCCAACATGTTGCGTGCCATCTCATCGAACCTTCGGTTCATGATCTCCATCAATTCACGAACGGACGCCTTTGAGGTACCGAGACCCTCGCCTAGGGTATTCATAGCCTCGCTCACACTTCGGACTTGAACATCGAGATTATCGATCTTGTCCTTCATCTCCTTGTTGGCCATGGCTTGCTTTTGGGACTCGTGTTGAAGATGATGATATAAATATTTTTTTTTTGATATAGGAGAGGGGGACGAAAAATAGGAAAAGAAAAAGAAAGGGAATGGGGTAGATGAAAAACACACGATCAACACCTCTCAATGAAAGCACCAATGATGAGGATCGTGTGTTTCGACTGCCGATAAGCCGCTAACCCGCGCCTTGAATCGCCGATAGTGT